GGGGAGCGAGAGAGAGCACAGTGCCACCAAGTCTCTGAATTCGGGCGGGCCAAGCCACTTCAACGACACCAGCCCCCCCAAAGCAATGCCACGTCATCACCCCATTGATTTACACAACAATTTTTGTTTTTTGGAGTCGGCCCAAAAGAGTAGGGCCCACATGACTGGACCTGGACGGGGCCCAGGAGGGATTAAGAAGAAGTGGCATGATTACTTTTCCTGCGAGGAAAAGCAATGGCTCGAGGGGAAAAGGAGACAGGAACCCTCCATCCACCCATAACAAGGGAGGGAGGAGGAACAAATCCAATAAAAACGAAGAATTGGCAAATAATAATGATAATAATAATAAAAGTGATAAAGAAAAGAGGGAGACAAAGTGGAAGGATGTTAATCCCATCACCTAAAGCTTAGAAAAGAAAATATATAGCCATTTGACTTTGCTATATCCCATCATCATATTCATTTGATTTGTACTTATATGGATTTGTTTTTTATGGGAAACATGGACCATATAAAATAAAATAAAATAAAATAATTGTCAATCACAAACCACCTCTTACTCTCTCTGTTCGTGGTGGTGTTTCAGACATTCGATTTGTATTTTAGCCCTGCCAAAGATGGAGCACTCAAATGACCTTTAATTCATCTTCAATTGCTTCGAAGCAAAAACTTGGTAGCAACTTATTACTTCAAAATGGAGAAAATTGATCTAGCTTTTGGAATTCTAATCATGATACCTAGTTTTTCAAAAAAATCATTCACATGCTACTATTCATTGAACTGACTAGAAATGTTTAAAATAATCAGTTTTATTTGTAATATTTATATTATTTAATCCAATTCAACTCTTTAAATTCTAAAAGTCAAATAATATACATTACATGTGATAACAAGTTAAAAAACCTGGTCAAGATTTTTAAAATTCAATCAATCCGACTTAACTTATATTAAACCTAAATTATTTGTTACAACTTTAATAAGTTTTTGAAAAATTTATCAAGACCGAAACTTAACTCTAATTAAACTCATCACATAAAAATTGAGAAAATAAGCCGAATTCATAAATATATATATATATATATAATATTTATAAAAAAAAAAATTAGTTCAATTCTATACATCCTTCTAGAACAAAAAAAATTAAATTTATCAAGTTTATAATTTATAAAATACTAAAAATTAAACTAAATTAGATTATAAGCGGATACACCACCCAACTAAATTTATAAACACCCCTAGAATCAATGAGCTTATGATTCGTTAATTAATCATACAATTCTATTGCTTCAAGTTATTATTCTGCGCCTCATGAACGCAACTGGATCCCGAAAGCCATTATCCGAAATAAGTTTTATTATATTCTAATCCCATGGAGTGTAGATTGATTCCTGACAGACTAGTCATGGCGTCCCCACGCAAAAAGCAACAAATGTTGACTTTTTGGATCGATTTAAATCTCTGAATGCTTTTCTTTTTCTTCTCGTAGAGCCCCATTTTTACAGTACTTGCATCCTGTAATCATTTCACCTCTGAAAATTACCATTTAATATCAGTAAATGCCATGCTTGACCTTTATACTCTGGTCAGAGATAACTTGGATTTCTGCTGCACTATCGTGAATTGCCAGACATCGGAACAAAATGCACATCTAAATATGAAGAAGCACTTTCAGGGTTCAGTGGGAAATCGAGGGTCTGATCTGGTAGCCGTCCATAGATGATGCAAGAAGACCACTGCTTGGACGGCCGGTAAAGTATCATCAAATGTTGACATGGTAGCTGCGGATCTGTCTTCTGTCTTCGAATATGCCTGCTTTCCCACCAGTTAACATATCAGATGCTCTTTCCGAACCCGCTTCCGACCTCGCCATTAAATGATAGAAACATTAAGCTATATATGTTATTGTCTACCAACATGAATCAAGAAATGTCCCAACAGAGAGACAAAAAAAAGTATGCCATCCCTCAGATTTTACTCAATCATGCTTTCGAGAATCCAATATATGTTCACTTACTGATTAAAAATCAGAAAATCTTTCCAAGTCTCACTCTGATGTCTAAGGACGGGCACTAATCTTTCTCAACTGAAAGTCTGAAAGCTACTGCTTTCCAAATATCCAAATTCATAAACTCTAATTGCAGGTCTTATACTGGCTTTTTTTTACACATTTCTTCTATTGTAAGATGAGCATATACTGTCACAATTCTTCCCTTCTTTTGAAGATCATGGAATTGTCGGTAACCTGATAAATCAGACTTCGAAGACGCCTGTCAAAAGTCACGCTCCGCCCCGAAAACTCTCAAAAAATAGCATCTGTTTATCACGAAGGATGGCAATGGGGGAGGAATAGAAGAGTAAACTGGGAGGATAGAGAGGAGAAAGGACGTAGCAAAAACAAAATCAACTTAATGAATAGATAAGAACGACAGATAAAAAAAAAGAAAAAACAGTCGTGGAAGAAGGAGAAATAGCAAGCATGTCACCCTCTAGCAACCATGCATGATATCCGAGGTAAGAAAAACCCACGTCAAAAAGCCCCCCGGCCCCATGAAAACATAGAAAACTAACCTAGAGCAGACCATAGAAAACGAAAAACTGAAGCACACATAATTAGGCAGCAACAAAACCAAACTAAAGAGTAAAAACAACATAATTCAAAACACCAAAACCAATATATATTTGAACAGAAAAACCTAAAAACAATTTGGCAAAAAAGATGCTGGAAAAACAATGACCACATTTGGAAAAACATAACAGAAGGAATAAAAAAAACAAAACTAGAAAGTAAAACAGCCAAAAGAGCGTAAATGCCAGCATACCTGTAAAAGGCAGTCCTTAGCCACAGCAACAAACCAAAAAGACCATCCCAAGCATAAGCAAGCACCAGCCATGGTTAGCCCTAGAAAACCTGAATGTCACCCAATAAAATATCGCAAACAAAAGATCAATACTTTGAAAAGCGCAGAAAGAATCAAGCAATCCACAAATGACCATCAACACTGAATACAAAACAAAAGAGAACATTCAAAGCAAATGCAGGGGTTGGGGAAAGTTAAAAAAAAAAAAAAAAACAACGTGACTGAATG